GCCATCGCTGGTAAGTTGGAGGCCATTGCTTCTAGGTTGGAGGCCATTGCCTCTAGGTTGGAGGCCATCGCTCATAGTATTGGAGACAACGGATACACAACAAAGGGGAGCGCTGTGTTCCGGATGGTTCACGGACGGGTTTGCGCATCGATGTGCTGTGAGACCACCAGGCGTGAACTTTTTTGGGATCGCGCGGGTCGAACGAAGCCGAAGATTCGCAGGGCTCAAGGGTGGCGGGGGTGGTCATGTGTGAGAACCCACCACCGCTTGACTTTAACACATGTGGCGGGGAGATAACCCATTATGGTATATTATGGTAGTGCTTTGGGACTATGGGAGTGTGGAAATTGCTGCCAGTTGGTACAGCAAGAACAAGAAACCTACTTACCCCACCCGCCCAAGTGTGTGTTCACTGCCCGGTACCACAGTCAACCAAACCCCAAAGCAAACCATTAGAAAATATATCCCCTTTACTAATGGTAGAAACGTGCCACTTGCACGACTTCACGAGCGGTTCTCCCCGCCACCACCGTAGACGCAGCATAGACGGCGCCGTTTTGCCACCGTAGACGCTGCAGCACTTGACATGGACGCGCGCTTTCTTCAAGGCGAGTGTTACATGTGAGACTATCCTCCAAAAGTGACACTGACGCCCGGGGCAGAAGGTTCAAGGAAGACTGGAGAACCACGAGCCTCCTTTGTCACGAGTTTGATTGAAGAATGCTTTCGAAGAATGTGGAAGTTGATGGAGATGGTTGTCTCTGTGTGTGTGAATCACTGGGATCCTTTAGGATTGTTTTTGGAGGTTGTTGCAGCTGCAGCGGACTTGACGAATTATTGAACTCCAAGCTGGCCGCCATATTGGCATGCCTTTAGGTGGCCATAGCGGTCAGAGCAGCCAGCCATTTTGGCACAGCGTACGCGGCCGCAGCGGCGGAAGCTTGTTCAAGCCCCCTTCCTCCCCCTACCCTCCCTCTCTTCCTTCTTTGCCTGTTGGGGTTCCTGAATGTAATACTCAGGTTCACCCCTCTCCCTGGTGTGTCCCTGGACCCTTGCTCGTAGCTGGGAACACCTGTGCACTTCGTTTTCCTCTCTCTCTCTCTCTTTTCTCTTTTCTTTCTTTTCCCTCCTTCTTGTTTGGGTGTCCCTGGATGCTTTCGTCATAGCTGCTTCTCTTGGTGTGTCCTTGGACGCTTGTGTCGTAGCTGGGAACCTCGCGCGCGATGCGTTCACATACAAAAGAGGCATTGCAACAGGTTTTCAATGAGGTGTGGCTTCATCGGCTCCTGTTCCCTCCACTTGTTTCCCTTTTCACTTTTCCCCTTCACACACATTTGTTCTCCTCTTTTCTTTCATGTCCTCCTGTCTTCATGTCTTGGCATTTCATTCCTTCTTTCTTTTGCGTACACACCGATCCCGGCCTTAGTGTGTACGTGCACACATACTTGTACTTCTAATCTAAACCCAGGTTTCAGGTCGCCCAGGTTTTCACAATGAGGTGGGGTTCATCGGTTGTCCCTGTGCACTTGGTTCCCCTTTCATCGCAGCTACGCACATTTTTGTCCTGTCTTGTCTTCTTTTCATGTCTTCATCTTTTTGTGTTTGCTGCGTGCGCACGTGCACATTTGTCCTAACCTTAGTTTTTCTCGCCTCCCTTCGGGGAGGCGTGTGTGTGTAACCCTTGGAATCACTGGGATCCTTTAGGATTGTCTTTGAAGGTTGTTACAGCTGCAGGGGCACGCGGCATCCATGACCTACCGTGTGCAACGAAGCTACGGTCATGGATGGGAAGGGAAGGCTGATCACCTTCCTGTACCTGCTTGTCTCTTATGTTTTTTCACTTAGGCTGGCGTGTGGCAAACCGCAACTAAATCAGTACGCATTTCTATAAAGTGTGTGTGTGTGTGGGGCAGCAATGACCGTTGTGAACTGAGAGGGATAAGGGTGGCCTTCAGGTGGTGGTTGCCCTAGGAAGGTGATGCGAAGAATGGCGCAGTTTTCGATGGGGAAGGGAATGAGAGAATTGGAGATGGGCACTGTCAGGGCTGCAGTTAAGGTTGGGCGACGGGTGTCGAAGCGTGGCTCTGTTAGAATGCATCGTCGAAGCTTCCGCAAGTCATGAACAGTAGAAGCCGCGTAGAAACTGTCGCGACAGGGAGTTGAGTACGCACTGTTTGGGCTGCGTTAAGTTGGTTGAGGGTGATGTTTGGGAAAACTCTATTGGGTGAAAATGCACTTCTGTTTTCACAAAGCGGAGCATCCGGGTGCTCTAACAGACACGTTGAATGCAGGAGGACGGCGGTTTCGCCGGTTCTGCTTCCTATGCCGTTCAAGGTGAGGAATACGAAGAGGCGAGCCTCCACTGTACACACCCTATTGGGTTGGTGATGTTTTGTGGAATGTTCTAAGGTTGTCGATGAAGATGAAAGACAAGCAGATCGCGACCAGCAGATTCTACAGGAGGTGCCAACATCGGACCAGAAAGGAACCTCCATGGAATTCCATTCGAAAGGACCCTGGACTTTTCAAGCGTTTTTGGAGTTGGAGGCTTGTTTGCCGGTCTCCGGTGCTCCACTACCACCAAGCGCGGGTCCGCCTAAGGAGAGGGTTTCAACTTGGCTAATGGAGAAACACATTATATATTATATACTGATCTGAGATGATGTTGTTGGCAAACGGCTCGTAAACTCTGGCCGCAAAACCCTTGCAAAATCTTCAGAAACACAGGATCGGTCCAAACTAATAACCTAGAAGCAATGGCCTCCAACCTAATAGCGATGGCCTCCAACCTAGAAGCAATGGCCTCCAACCTAATTGTGATGGCCTCCAACCTAGAAGCAATGGCCGCGATGGCCTCCAACCCAG